TATATATATATATATATATATATATATATATATATATATATATATATATATATATATATATATATATATATATATATATATATATATATATATATATATATATATATATATATATATATATATATATATATATATATATATATATAGGGGCTGGTTCCCGTGAGAATGCACCTTGTGGAGAGAAATGAGAGTAAAATCTAGCTGTCGGATCTGATGCATCGTGCGGCTCAGATTGCATCCTGCGCTCAGATTTTGAGATAGTGCATTTTTGAAGGTTTATGGTGCATTTCGACGTGATGCATTTTCGCACCATTTTGGTGCATCTAATTTTGATGAAATCTTGACCATTAGATCTCACAATCTAAAGCACCAGATTCATTCTCATTTCTCTCCTAAGATTGCATTCTCACCAGAACCAATATATATATATATATATATATATATATATATATATATATATATATATATATAAATTTACTTAAACAGGACTAAAACATAATGACTTTCTCAATATAGGACCATATGTTTTTATTTCCCAATGTAGGACTTTTGGTCATTATCAACTATCAAGTAGTCATTATTCAAATAAATGTACATCATTAGTGGACATTATTCCTCCCACTGGGTCATTATTAAGTCCTATTTAGGGAATAAAAAAGTTTAAATCCTACATTGGGAATGTCATTATGTTTTAGTCCTATTTAGAGCAAATTTTACATATATATACTATCTACGTCCCTAAATATTTGCCACACTTGTATTCTCGAGGTAAAATATCAAGTGTTTTCAACTCATTTTATTTACATATATGTATAGAAATAAAAAAATTAAATTTACATATCAAAAAATTACATGAAAAGTTCTTCGAAATAAGAGGTGTCAAGAATATTTTATTTTATCAAATAACCAATGAAAACGTAGTAATAAACAAAAGTTTTCGCGACTGCTAAAAAAGCAAATGTTGTAAATATTTTGGGACGAAGGGAGTAGAGAGAGACACACACATATATATGTACGGACTATGGAGTACCTTTCTATCATGTCCATACCATTGCTCCTCTTGTGTTTTGTGTGGGGTTGTAAGTTTGGATAATATTGTCCATAGGCTTTTTTTTTTGAAGATTTAGAAAGAAAAAAAACTCTAAATTTTATTTAGAGTGGAGAGTAATGTTATACGGAGTAGTTTTTTAATAAATAAAAAAGAATGAGAAATTTACTTAAGAACAAAACGAAAAATGAAAGCGTTAAAAAAGTTAAATGGAAGATAAGGTGCCTAAAAATGTTAACAACCACCATGGGAATGATACAACAGCCATGCTAGTGATATCCTATTAAATGTATATCAAAGTAACATTTTAATAGTTTATACTGATATAATATGTCAGTGCGATAAAAAAAATTTACACTGAATAATCATCATGGCATCACACTGGTACAAAATGCCAGCGTATAACTGTTGTGTGCACTTAGGAGTATACTTTTTGGGGTATAAGTATTTTAGTTCATTACAAAAATATGCAAACATGCCTCGAAGAAACTATCAAGGCTCAATAAGATCTTGTGGAAAAATCAGCCAAATCTATCTCATGTGCATACTTTTACAGTTTTACCCCTTGGTATTCAACTTATCACAAGGCTATCAAACACTTTAGACCACCCCCCACCCCACCCACACACACAAAACCTGAGCTGGGCATGCCCCATGTGGACAAACAATGCTAATTATACAAATAATACAACTAACAGAAGCAAAAAACAGCCAATTGAACAAAAAGATGAGAAAATGTGAAAATTTTCATCTCTCTCTTCCTCTCTGTGTGTGCTTTTTTCTACAATGAATTGACAAGATACAGGAAAAGAACAGTTCATAAATGGTAAAGATTCAATTTTTAAAACAGAAATTTACCCTAAAGAAGATGGGGGTAAGCTTGAAACACTGATTTTCCCAGTTTCCTTCTTTGGGCCATATGATGATGACAACAATGGAGAAATGTCGATTGAATGATTGATTGGGAATGGAAATTTCGATCTTAACATAAATCTGTGATTACCCAAATCTCCAATAACCATTAAATGGCCTAATAATCATTTAATTTCCGGAAAAAGAAGAAAGAAATATAGTACAGAAATGAAAACAAGAATTCTTGAAGAGACAGAAGTGGAAAATTTCTTGAGATCAGGAAGAGAAATGGGGACGGGGAGGAGGCAGCAACTGGTAGGTCTGATGAACCTGGCTGGGAATGCTGCTGAGATTGTTGTTCCCTGTCCCGGAACAGTGCTGCAGGATGAATGGGTGGCGGAGCAGCTTCGCCGCCGTCCACCGCCGCGAAGGGTCCCTCTGCAGACAGCAGTCGATGAAGTTCTTGAACTCCTGTGAAGCAGTCGGCGGCGCCTCCGGCGGGTCCGACATACAAATGGCGCACATCAAGGTGGCCCAGTCCCCCTGCCTCCCGCCGTTGAAAGGGAATCTGCCCAGGTAAAACTCCAAGATGCTGACGCCGAGGCTCCAGATGTCTCCGGCGAACCCGTTGTATTGCCCATGGTTCAGATCGGAGTTGATCCTCTCCGGGCTCATGTAGGCGATGGTGCCGACGGAGGAGTTGCAGTCCATGGTGGCCGCTAGGATTCTGGAGACCCCGAAATCGGCTATCTTCACCACGCGCTGGGAATTGGTGAGCAGATTGGATGGCTTGATGTCCCGGTGAACGATTTTCCGGCGGTGGAGGTAATCGAGGCCGGAGAGAATCTGACGGGTGAGATGGGCGAGCATGGGTTCGTTGGAGATGTGGGTCCCCTCGAGGGAGCCCTTGTCCATGAACTCCAGGAGGACCTGGATTTCGCCGTCGTGATCGGACATGTCGTGACACTTGACGATGTTGGGGTCGTTGACGTCCCGGAGGATCTCGATCTCCCGGCACATCTGGAGGCGGACGGCGTCCTCGTGGTGGCCGTGGATCACCTTCAGAGCATAAATCCTGCCGCTGGGCCGGTGGAGGACCTTGTACACCGTCCCGCCGATCCCACTCCCCACCCGGTTGATCCGCTCCAGCTCGGAGAAATTGAGGGGCGCCGTCGCCGGGAGGGAAGAACGGGACTGAGCTGAAGATGCGGAGGAAGGTGCGGAGGTGGGTGGGAGCGGCAGAGGGACGGCTAATCTCGGGTCGCGCTGGGGTAGAGGGAGGGTCAAGTCGGGTCTGCGCCGCTGACGGGTCCGGTCCGCCGCCGGCGCTTGCGGCTGATTCGGGTTCATCGGCAGCTTATTCTCTCCGTCCTGTCTCCCGGCGGCGACGAGTGCAAATCCGGTGGGTATCTTGAAATTCGAAACAAGAATTTAGCTAAGTATCTTATACACCAGAAGACGCAAATGGAAAGAACGGTTGATTGAGAAAAGAAAGTCAAAAACCAGTCGCCGGAGAGAAGGTTCTGAGAATGAAGGAGGAAAGCGCCGGCGACAGAGATGTGAGGAAGACAGGAGAAAATTTTCCAAGTAGGAAGAAGATAAAGAGAAGAAGCTCTGGCCTTTGCCTTTGGTTGTGTGTAATTCCTACTCCGTATATAGAGGGGCTTTCTTTTGGCCTTTGGTACTCCCAAAATGTGAAATTTTGTTATTAGAATTTTGAGTTATGAACTTAAATACTCCATCTATTCCAAAATCAATAGTCAATAAATTATATTTAATTTTAATATATAAATATTATAAAAATTTAATATATTAAAATTATATCCAAAATGCACTCAGTTGTAGTAAATTTATATAAGGCAAAACAAAATATAGTTTACTTATATTATTCTCTCTCCCACTTTTTTGTAAACAGATAAAGTTTTGCGGTGGTTAAAGGGAATAGCGATTGACAATGTGAAAAGAACCGTGATTGAAATGTAACACTATGCATATATAGTACAAGAATAATGTGGGGTGACGCTAGTAAGACGTTGGTCAACGATTGATATAAGAATGACAAAAAGAAGAGATTTCGAGTTCAAAGACTGGTAAATGCGATGAGGGGCAAGCATAAAAAGTATGAGACTTTTGCAAGTACTAGACACGGACTTTCACTTCTCGCCAATTAACTGAAAATATAACACAATTTACTTTTTTTCGACTAATTGTTCGGGCGGGCGGGCGGCAGGTGCTTAAGGCCCTTGGAGATTGGGGTTCATCGTTTTTTCTTAATCAAATGGGGTGGTGTAAATTTGGGGGTGGGATGTTAGGGTGATGTAATATAACGTGAAATGAAAAAAGTAAGTGTAAAAAGTCAAATTGGAAAAGAAAAAAGAAATCAATAAAGAAACAAGTGAGAGTGAGTGAATATGTAGTATAAAGGCATCAAAGTTTGATAAAAAAATCAAATTGTGACTTTGTGATTTTTATTTTTGGACGAAAATGATAATAAATTTAAGTAAAATTTTAATACTCACAAATCTAAATAAATAAAATATAAAGTTAATAATAATAACTCCATTCATCCCATTAAATATTTGACACTATAATACAAAGTCTTTTGTGAATCTTAGATCCATACTTATTTTATAAATCTTGATATTTGGAACGATGAAATGTATGGTCTTGTAAAATGAAAAAGTTTCAACTATGAGCTCATGAAAAATTTGTGAGAACCATATTTCATGTGTGAACTTAGGATCACAATGGCAAAACTCACAAGCTAACTCACGAACTTTAATGATTTCAACTTTAGTTTTCTTAAGAGATCTGTGAATCATGATAACCACCTTGTGGTTAGAAAAGCTAGTTCTATGTCTGATCTTCTGAAATAATATGTCATTCCACCTCCTTTTTTCATAAACTTTATTTATGCTAATTTAGTGGATTAATCTTTCGTTGTAAGAAAACTCACGAAATTTAAGAAAGTTATTGAAAAGTAAAAATGACGTGATTAGAATTTATGTAGAGGTGAGAATTATTGAAAGCCACATATTCATTACCAAATTAAAGAATAAAGTAAGTGTAAGGTATTTTTTGTGGTAAAAAAAGAAAGTGTAAAAAAAATATTATGAAACGGAAAGGGTACTTGGTATATAGTGTATACTATACTCCACATTCTAAGATAAGATTCACATTGCAATTTACGATACGCAGAGTATAAACTTATTTTCAAAGTACTTTAAAATTGCATAGTACTCCGTATATAAAATGGGATACCCATAAAAGTTACACTATTTTTTATGTATTTTTGAAAAAAAGTTACTTTTAAATAATTTCAATAAAAAAATGGTATTCCTTCATCTCAGAGTACTTGTGTAGTTTTTATTTTTTGTGATCAACCAAAACCTACCTTTGATTTATTTTTTAAATAAAAAATACGGATTATATGGTAGATTAGAATTTAGAAACCTAAAACAATATTTTGAAATATTTAATATCAATTTTTTTAATTAATAGTCAACAATTATCAATATAAACTATAAAAAATAAAAAATAAAAAATAAATAAATATTTTGAGACGAAGATAATACCGACTAATAATTTATAAAGAGAAAGGGAAGAAATATTTGTATACTCCTATAGGCGCTGATGGTATTGCCTTCGGCACTCCCACTTGCTGAAAAGACATAATCACACTCACATTTTTTGTCCTGACTATATTTTTATGTAAAATAATTTAATTTGTAGTAATATTGAACTAATATGAAAATGTTTTGTCTCCAAAGTACTTGAAAATCTTTTATGAAATGTTCATGCATTTAGCTCACATGTGTAATATAATCACATACGGAGTATTTTAAATTTACATAAAGTAATTGCATTTTCTAAATTCTAATTTTGTTGCATATGTGATTATATATAATTACAGTCTCATTTAGCATCATCGTTAGAGGTTAACGTTAATATTTTGAAAATGTTATCCAACGGAAGCCTTTAGCATTAACATTTTCAGAATTAATCCATATCATTAAGATTTTATCCAAAATACTAACGCTAATCTAAAACGTTGTTCTTAAATAAGGCCTACATGCGGAGTATTTTAAACATCCCTAGGGCTAAATTAAAAACATTATTGACTAAAATATATAATAAAATCATTTCATGGTCTTATTTGAAGCTAGTATTTTACATTCATTTCTTCAAAATGAGGTATATATTGTACAAAGTGAATAACAAAATCGGAACAAAGAAAATACATACTCCTTCCATCCTAAAATGAATTACACGTTTTACTATTTAAAAGTATCAAAAACGTTTCTTTATTTGCGTGTTTTGATTGATTATTTAATATTAAAATATTATTATCACATTTTGATTTGTAAAATTTTTGACGTAATTTTTAAATATGTAAATTGTCTATAAAATGTAAAACATTTCGAGACGACAGGGATATTTTAGTGGACTTTCAACTTTCAAGTATTTGCTCATTTAAAAAAAAATCTCATTTTCGCTTTTAAAACCACTTGTCACTTTCACCTTTTTTCCCTCTAATCTTTAGAACACCACAATCTGTTTTCTTTTCTTTTTTTCTTAAATTAATAGGAGTAACAATCATCATACAAACATTATCGAATAAAAGGAAAAAAGATGATAGAATGGTAGAAATTGGACAACCCAAAATCTAATCCATTTATGGAAAGGTGAAAATGAATGATCAGTGGATAATTGTTCACGGCATGTTTTCCAGCATGGATATATCTATCTATATTCACAAATCTTAAATCTATATTCTAGATTTACACTGTATCTATACGATCCACACACACACACAAAAGAAAAATCTAATGGATTACACACACCTCTAGAATATTCTAAAGGATTCTATCTTCTTTCACACATATCTAGAGACTCACACGACTCTCTAGAAAGTTATAGAATATTCAAGATATTCTAGAGGGTTCCACACCTCTTTAGATAATTTCACAATATTCTACAAAAAATCTACAGATCTCCACTGACTTTTAGAATCTTCCTTCTCATAGCTTTTTTGGAAATAACAAACTATTCCCCTAACACTACATTTCATATTTTCCACATTTTGGGCATGTGAAATGGAGAGAGGGACATAGAGAATCCATGCAAGCACAGAGGTCTTTGTTTCCACACACACACAAACACAAAGTAATCGACACAACCTTGTCACAATACACATTAACTTGCTGCTATAATGTTGTAACAAAGCACCGAGCACTGGGTCGTGAGGTCGATGATTATAATTGAAGGGGAGAGCTAGTTAGGGGTGGTTCTCTTTTCGTGTGTAGGGCCGGGCAATCAAGATTATTCATTTGATGCAGTTAAAGGTTTGTCTGGTTTTTATTTACATTTACCCGATTGGGTTTAACGGTTCTCTTTATTTCCATCTATATGTTGGACTTCACTAACCTTTGTCTTATGTGTTTTTTGAGGGTCTTTTGGAAATAGTGTCCCTAAGTAAGCGTATGGTCTGTGTATACCAATCCCATACACCAGACCCCATGTGTGGGATTTTACTTAGTAAATTCTTCTTGTTGTTGTGGCCAAAGTGAGATGTAAAATGACTTAACACACTAAGCCTAACGTAAAGCCCGAACAAGAAGAGATAGAGAATAACATGAATAAACAAATATCATTTCAAATGGTCACAAGGAAAAGGCAAGAGTATTTATTGAACATAAAGTTTGAGCACCTTGTGATTGCTAAAGCCTTCTGCTTGGAGCCTTTTGTTCTTCACTGTCTTTTTATAATGTTGTGTTGTTATTTTAAACAACTTCATCGAGTCTTGCATGATCCTATGTCACAACAAAAACCTACTTAGTAACAAGAACACTAACCTACTAATTAAGTTTCCCTATAATAATTAAGAGTACACAACCCTTACAACTATCATATGAAATTAGGACTGTTCATGATTTAGTGGTCCATCACTCAATCATGTTCCAAGGTACGGTCCACGAGAAGAACTAGGGGGCCCATACGAGTATCGCCACTCCCCACAAGCCATGCATCTCTCCGACTTCACACTGTTATCCAATGTACAAAACTTGCAAGCCCACACCTTTGATTTCTCACTCCCTTCCTTCTTATTCTTTAGTGTTCCACAAGCTTCACAGGAAAGAGCTAGATTCTGAAATGACAGAAATTGACAAACTTAACTCCAAATCCATATTCACTAGTCTCATGGGACTTATCATCCCATGACCTCATGGGAGGATGGGACTCTACGTAGGATCATATTATACATTGCATGATAAGTACCAATTGAAAGACAATACTGTCAATTAAGGCCTTGTTTGAGAATAAAGTTTTCAATTAGCACTAGCGATTTGCATAACTTTTTAATGCTGCAGATTAACTTCGAAAAAGCTAAAACTAAATGTTGCCATTAGTCAGCATTTCAAAACACCAAGAAAGTATGTAGTTAGGTGTGTGACTGTGCAAAGGTATGGTGCAACCCAGTGTTTCATCTGATTCGGTTGAAACTTCTATAACGTGTTATCCTGTATAAAAAAGTGTATATGCTTCAAAAGGGACTTACCAGATTCAATAAAGTACAAGCACTGCATTGCCATGTCGGAATAGAGTCTGTTGTATGAAGCGAACTCTCAATGAACTCATCTTTCTGTACTCGGGAAGTGTTAGAAGTTTCAGAATCAGAAGATGGTTTAGCCACCAGAGATTCAGATCCACACCACACATCATCAAGTAACCGCCTTTCAGCAGCCATTGCAGCAGCTTGAATGGGGCTCAGAGAAGCCTTGATGATACTATCACCACCAATGTGTTTCGGCCCGTTTGGCAACATTTGTCCTAGTTGTGCTCTGTTTTCTGCAGCCGACAGCGCCTTCTGCCTCAATAAGGGTAATGGGAGCTGGCAGGAAAACCCTCCAAGTCGCTTTCCAGGAAGATCAAACCCTTTCCCTGTGCCTGTAATTCCTTTAGCCATAAGTTCTTCACATTCCTGTAACACGAATGAATAGTAAGATCCATATCCGTTTTTGGAACTCAGAAAATGCTAGGGAAGAAAAATATAGGGGAAATTTGGAAGGGAAGTAAATGTGGGTAAGTGGGTTGAAGGCTAAAAACATTGATCCAAAATCAATAATGTGTTCAAACTCATTTTCTTTATCTATTTCTATCATATGAGGACTATAAAATTTGAACTGTTTTTTAAAAAAACAGAAACCATACCAAGGTAATACGGAGTAACAAACAAAAGAAAGTTTTCTAGTATTTTCCCCTTTCCCTAACGTTTTCTGGGATACAAACATACATCTAGTCTCTAAAACTCCATCTTTTACATCAAGAAGGACAAATGTAATGAGAACCGTATGAGGTTTTAGTAAATCCAATGATGACATGTTTAGAATATCAGCATATAATAACTGCACTCCTTGTTGCATAAATGGGAGAGAAAGGGGAAAATGTTGAGGAAATAGTTTTATTAAATATTTGGCTTTACATAGGAAAAAATGTAGGGAAATCGAAATGCATCAAATCTTCGTAAAGCGTTACATAGAATTATATTTGTTTGTCTTTATGGAATAGAATACAAAATAAAATGAGTTTGAACAGATACAACTATGGACTTGGAGGGAATTCTTTTTTCTCACCTAATTTTCTTTCCTTCAAAATTTACCCTCTATACTCTTTCTCTAGCAATTTCCACATTAAAAATGAACCCAAAAAACAAAAGAAACTTACAACCAGACCTTTCTTATTTCACCTAAAAGATTGTAGAAATCAGTATTATGAGGGCCATGTTCATTGTGACAGAGTTCATGAAGCATTGTATCAAGAATCTGATTAAAAGGGAAGAAATCCAACTCATTATTATGTCTGCGCAATCTTAGCTTGACCTCTGTCCCTCCTATGTTGAGCCCTAATAGAGATGGATTTGGAGGGCTGCAAATTGAAAGTTACAAGTTAGCGTAATGATGGTGCTTCAAGACAAAAAAAAAACTTATATACAGCGAAAAATGTAACACATTTTTTTGGGATAAAATCTACAATGTTCAATAGAAATTAGCTATTTTGTGGAAATAAGAATCTTTATTTGACGAAATAAGTTTTGGCATACGATTCTTTTGAGAGCGGATAGATTAAATGTACATTCATGACAAAGTAACGACATTACCAAAATTCAGAAAGGAGTTCGACTTTCCAATTCCGTTTGCGCATGATTGGTTGGACCTGTTTTGCTACTTTTTCTAAGATTTCCCTTGCCTCGTCTTCTCTTATCTTCTGAAGGGGTTTCACCTTCCATACCTTGTTGAGGTCATTTAGATCCATGGAAATCGTGTGCCAAGCTGAAACTATAAAAACACCCCTTTTTTTTATTAAACTGAATCCATATATAGCTTGTCAATTCACATAATAGTATCTTCTCAAGGGGTTCCCTGACTGAGTTTCGTAAAAAAAGGCTAATTCTAAACATTTGACCCTCGATGGATGCATTGCGAAAATTACCACCCAAAACATCATATAAAGCAAGAAGTTTGTTCAGTCCTTTATTTCCCCAAAACTAAAGATCTAAAGCATGATACTCTTTTATCACCATTAGAGATGGATGCCAAGCCACGCAACAGTATACACAAAATCTTTCTTGTCTGATTGTCTGATGGAAGAATCGGTAATGCTGGGGTGCCCCCAAATAGTTGTTACGATGTGTGCACTCAAGTTTCTCACAGATGATTATCATTTGTGTCATCTGTGCGAAGCTCGGGTGCACCCATGGTAATAACCAGGCCCGCCCAATGAGGAGTGCAAGAGGTGCTCTTGCACAGGGCCTCCAAAATGATGGGGCCCATTGTAATTAAATTAAAAGCCCATGAGTTTATCTAAGTCAATTAAGTTGTTTAAGACTTTTCCTTCTAGCTTCTTTGTTCTTCAAGGCCTTTCGGTATGTTCCTTCTCAAATCTTGTGTCAATTGTGTTTGATTTTTCATTTATAGGCTGCATCTTTAATAATTTTTTATTTTCAATTCTTTAAGAACTAATTTGTTTTGTTTCTTCTGTTTTTTTCATCTTCAATTTGTTTTAAAATTGATCTACTTTTTTCATTCCTAAATTCAGTTTTAAGAACTTAATTCAGTTTTAAAAATCCAATTTTAAATTGATTTTTAATTATTAATGAATTATTTCTTATTTTGTTCATTCAATTCTAAAAGTGATTCTACTTGCAAGTTAACTTTTTTTTTGAACAAAAGCAAATTCTAAAGAAAAAGTTATTATTCAAACTACTTGCATTGCGAGATGTGCAATTCTTAGGTTTTATCGCTCCACTGATGAAAGGACTTGAAGTTTATTACTCTGAATATTATTTTTAATGGAATCACCAATATTGATACATTTGCATTGTCACAACTTTTATTTTAACTTAAAAAGTTTAGAATCAAAAGTACTAAATAGCACAGGGCCTTTTAAAATGATTGGGCGGGCCTGGTAATAACCATTTGGGGCACCCTAACATGATCCATGGGTGAATATCCCAAAATCCAAAAAATGAATGAATAGTACTTTAGGATGTGAATACAAATCCAGAGCTGCAAAACACCATCGTAAACTACAAACTAAAAGGCCAGAGTTCTAACCAGGTAACTAGATCTCTAAATGTTTCTATGTAAGGATTAACATTTATGCCAGAACCTTCTTCTTAAGAACCCTAAATTATGTCCAGAAAAAAATTGAACATTTTTTTAGGTATAATTCATCTCTGTGATTATCCTTTTTAAACTCATAGCCTCTAAAAAGGTCACTTCTTTCATAACCTCAAAGTACCTGAGAAAAACGAAGCCTTTGCCGGAAGGACGCCGCGAATTCTATCGCCGACAGTTAGATTTCAGAAAATATAGTGGAATTTTTTAGCGGGGAAGGTCAAGAGAACATAGCCTTCGTATATTATGGTCGCTCCGCCAAATTATTTGCATTTTTTAAAAAAAAGTAATTTAAAATCGAGTACTTGTAATTTTCTATAAAAAATCGTGCTATTTATATTTATACATACATACTCTATAAAAATATGATATTTAGAAAAAATAAATTTTTAAAAATAAATAGTAATTTTATATATTTTTATGCAATATATTTTCTTTAAAAACTTGTGATCAACATTTATAAACTTCCACCAAGAAAAAATCAAATTGAAATAAGTTTTGCATGATGGAGTAACAAAATGATTTTCAACTCATTAGATTTGAAACCCTATATAATTAAATATTAAAAATTGTATATTTAAAAGTGATTCAAAATTTTATAAAAACAAAATTCGATTTAGTTTTGTCACACGGTCAAACTAATTTAATCGCTTTCTTTAACTATTTTCTATTAATTATTTGATAAAATAATATAGTTTTATCACCTTTTTGTTTTGTAAAGCTTTTGATGTAGTTTTTTAATATATAGATTTTATTTTTAAATTTTACACCTACAATCGAATAAACTGAATGGAAAATAAAGTCGGTCAAACGTCGTAAACAGAAACGGAAAGACTATAATAGGACATAAGAAGTAACAAAAACTTTATCAATTATGTAGTGACTAAAAACTTTTTTTGAACCAAATGCAAATATATTAAATGTCTCAACTCAAATGTACAAACAAACCCCTTACAAAGAATGGCTACTTACTGTCTATAGCCCCCATAAAGCAACACACTCAGATATAAGCTACTGCTCTAGTACAACCTATTAACGCTCTCACAAATTTTATTCAAAGCTGGCATTTTGAGCGCAAGTATGTGCTAGATGAATATTTAATCCATTGCA